GAAGATACGGCGACAAAATGAAATGTAGATGCATGTCTTGATTATATATGTAGTAAGAATATGAAGCCATGCAATATACACAAGTACATTTGTAGTTGGCCAGAGACTAGTGAATTTGTGAAGATAATGGACATAGATTTTTCTTATTTTGAGAAAGTCATTGTTTTCAGATAAGGATTGTGAATTTTGTGTTAGATCAAAAAGTTTTCAAGGAAAATTATTTGGTAAACATTTTCACTTAGAATTGTTACCGTTTTTGAGCAGAGATTTCTTCCTTCTCCTGATAGAAGGTACGGAACCGAACAGGGGAGGAGATAGGAGACAGAAATGATTTTCTAAAATTTAGTCATATACTATTCCTTAATGCCTTAGCCGTGGAATATAAATGTCTTTTGTACACTTTTGTAACCTTACGCTGTTTATAATATCCTATTAGATTTATTTTGGCGTGCTCCCGAGGAACTACGGAGTCCGCAGACGAGGGGGTCGCCAAAGGGTGACGTTTACGCCTTTGGAATCATCCTTCATGAGATATTTGGAAGAGGGGGGCCTTTTGGATTTTGTAACATGGTGCCTAAAGGTGAGTTATTAATGTTAAAATGTTTTCGAATGAAATATATTTCTCGTTCATAAAAGTATAGGTATATTTTAAGTTTTAATTTACTTTGGTTTATGTTGGTTTATATTTGTCGTCTAAAGATATTGTGTATCGAGTGATGGACGGTGGGATGATCCCATTTAGACCAGATACTAGTACTTTAAAATGTGAGAAGTATGTGATCGATTGTATGGTGGATTGTTGGAGTGAAGCGCCGGAAGACAGACCCGACTTCCGCTGCATTTATAAAACCTTACACAAAATGCGAGAGGGAATGTAAGTTTAAGTATCCTTATCAATTTCTGTCGTTGGACGACTTATAAATATCCACAATTCATTTTGAACATAGTAATTATTTTCTTGATCTGGAAATATCAATTATTTTTGAAAAAAAACTTTCACTTACATGTAGCACTTTATTAGAACAAATGCTGATATGAAAATTCTACATTAATTCGTATAGTTTAACGGCGTGAATTTTGTGTCTGGTTGAAGTATATTTAGTTTTTAATTTGTTTGTGAATTTACTTTCAAAAGGAAGAGAAACATCTTTGACCAGATCATGACAATGATGGAATCGTACCAGAATCACCTAGAGGAACTGGTGGAGAGTAGGACGATACAACTGGCGGACGAAAAGAGGATCACCGAAACCCTCCTACACCGCATGCTTCCAAGGTTTGCACATGATTCACATGTTTATAGGTGTAATTTTCTATAAAACTTTATCCATATGAAACAAAATTTTATTTCTTATTAAAGTTCATTTTGATATATATTTCAGACCAATTGCTGACCAACTGAAAGTTGGACATTGTGTCAAACCGGAAGTGTATGAATCTGTCACAATATACTTCAGCGATATTTGTGGATTCACGAAACTCTCAGCAGAAATCACACCAATGGAGGTGATATTTTATGATGCTAGCATTTACCCTTATTTTTAAGAAAACACCATATAGTGTTTTTTTCTATAAAAACGACTCACTTTTTAATTATCTGTAAAACGTACTTACTACAGTACATTAACTAGATGCTGTCATGAGACAGCAATACCCGCACTAAGGTGTTTGCCTCTAAACACACACTCGTGCATATTTAGCTTAAAGCCTTCCCAGGAAAAGTCAAAATAATTCTATAATTTACACAGTACATGTACTCGTCACATTGAGTATAACATTCTTAGACCCTGTGACTATGTGACCTATGACTCAGTGCCTCTTATATGTATTTTATATGCTTCATATGCGTCGGAAGGAAATTGAAAATGGGGAGGGGGCTAAACCAACAAAAAAGGTAAACCCCAATTTTCAATCCATAGAAAATGTCCATCTTTGCAAAAAAAAAAAAAGGGGGGGGGGTTAAACCCCCCGGTTCAGACGCCTATGTGTAACTTAGATTTTAAAAAATGTTTTGCTCATAATTGGTACCTTTTTAAATTTAATAATGCCCCCCTCCAAAAAAAAAACACCACACACACACACACACACACACACACCCTCACACACACACACACACACACACCCTCACGAACCGTACTTTTTTTAAATAGGATACACATGGAGATGGAAAAGTTATGTTAAAACATAGTTTGTTTTAATTTTTGCTGTAGATAATTTTTAGCAAATTTGCAAATTCATTGCATTCGCAAAAATATTTGTCATAAAAATAATTCAACAATAAGAAAATGTAAACAAAGTAGTGGTCATTCGCAAAATTTTGAAACGTAAAAAATATAATCAACAGCATTCTGACCCAGATTCGCAAAATAAAATCAACGTAAAAATTTCCAGATTTACGCTATACATGTTTACATGTAAACACCTTTTGGAAAATTTCTACATTACATTGGGTTGCGTCACCCATTATCATATTTTTAGATTATGCACCACTCGGCACACCTCGGCCGATTCGTGCTTCATCTGCATTAGCCAAGGTTTGTCAAACAGGATAGCATGCACATGCTGCAGTGTGATGTGTATTGAAAAAATCATTTTGTTATAAATTGGATTATATTTCATGAAGTTCACAGGACCTATGACAGTCGGTAAGTACAAGTTTAAGTATAGATTTGGGTAAAATGAACCGAAATGCAAAATTTAGATTAGGTTAAAGTTCAAAGATCATCGCATGCCACAGTATAGTCGGATTTTCACATTGTGAAATTATCTCCCGTTGTCGATGTGACATTCAGTTACAGGTGCAGATCCAGATTTTTTTCAGGAGGGGGGAGGGGGGTTCACACCTCAGTCAAAAAAATGTCAGCCCAGAATTTTCTCACAAGCAAAGACAAAAAACTGAAAACAAAATAAAAACAATGATAGTGGGTTCGTGGGGTCAATGTTTTCTAAGGGGGATGATGTCCAAAGTAATTTTTTATTTGCTTCAGTATATAGTCTTATTTAAATAAGAAAGCAAACTCCGGGGGGGGGGTCCCATCTCCCTAGCCACTCCCTGTTCATGAAATTGCAATTGATCTTGTGACTCCAAAATAGAATTTTTTTTCCATTTGACTATATATCTACATATTTTGTTTCTTGTGTTTATAAATAATGTCTGACTGTTTGTCTGCAGAAATTTGATCAGTAATTTGGCTTAAATTTTTGATCAGTAGGTGCGAGGGTTTTCATGCTTACCATGTGTATTCATTGTAAACTTTCAACAGGTATAAATATGTTCGACCTTGGCCCTAGAGTTAGACCCACTTAAAAAAAAGAAATTAACCATGGCAATTAACTTCTGAACAGGAAGTACTAGGGATTTCTTTATATTTCACATGTGTATTCCTTGTGACAAGACTTTCTTTCGATACCAACAATTTTAACCCTTTGACCTTGACCTTTGAGTTTGACATACATTTGAGAAACTTCAACCTTCGCCATAAGCTGGCCTACGTGGGCATCAGTGTTTAAACTGTAACAAACACACCTTGTCTTCGATTCATTACTTTTAAGTTGCGGTGTCTCCATATGACGGAAAAATTCCCGAGAGAGATGTTTTCACAACAAACAAACAAATTACTAAAAATAACATAAAACATGAACATGTTGGTTGTATCTCTTGTTCTCCCTTGAATCAGAAATGATTACATGAATATTTTAAAAATAATTACATGTATTATAAGATTTGAAAAGGTTGTGCATCTTAAAATTGACTAAGTTCTGTGGTTGAATTAGCTATAAAACTTTACTAGCTTTATTTTGCCACTCAAAACACCTTGATTAACTATTTTCAATGATACTGTTTTCTGGAATGTTCATGCATTTTTTTCAACAATGGATACATATGTCATACATTTTCAGTTTCTCAAAAAATTGCATGAAAAAAAGCTTTTCAAATACTGTAACCATGGTAACCTTTACAAAATACATGTGAATCCTATGTTTTTAGCTCATTTGAGCTTTTCAGGTTTTTTTTATCACGTTACGTCTGTCGTCCATTTGTTTGTATGGAAACTTTACATTTTTAACTTGTCTACAACCACTGGGCCAATTTTAACCAATTCACATTGAAATCAGTATATGTACATCTGTATGTCAGTCTGTCAATTTAACCTTGGTCATCACAGTCATATCTATTGAATGAGAAGAGACAAGGCATTTGTATTAAACATATGCATAATTAGTATTTACCTGTGACAATGCCATGATTTTTTTTACCCATGACCTTGAAGTTTGACCTACTTGCAAAAAAATTACATTATTTTAAATTCATTATTTTGAAAGAATTCATATTATACATGCATGTATATTATTACCTATGATAAGACCTTTCGAAATAAATCATGAATCTGTGACCTTGACCTTGAAGCTTAACCTACTTTTCAAAATGTTGCATTTGCTTATAACTTTCGATTTAGAAGAGATATGACTTTTACATTTGACATGTACAATACTCGTAAGAATTCAAGATGTTTCCCAGCATGCTATGATTTTTTACCCTATGATGTTGATGTTTTACCTAATTTTCAAAATATTTAACTCTCCTAAAAGATGATCAGGCTACTGATTTGACCCCCCCCCCAGGGCAAAATCAAAATTCTGAAACCTTACTGCACATCTACATGACACCACCAACCATCTCCCAAAAGATGATTAGGCTGCTGAGTAAAATGTAGAAGGAGTTCAGGGAAGACGGGGCTTTTAGCATAAAAAAACATCATTTTTCGACCCCCATTTGACCCCCTGGGGCAAAATCAAAATTCCAAAACTTTACTGCACATCTACATGACACCACCAACCATCTCCCAAATGATGATTAGGCTGCTGAGTAAAATGTAGAAGGAGTTCAGGGAAGACGGGGCTTTTAGCATAAAAAACATCATTTTTCGACCCCCATTTGACCCCCCGAGGCAAAATCAAAATTCCGAAACCTTACTGCACATCTACATGACACCACCAACCATCTCCCAAAAGATGATTAGGCTGCTGAGTAAAATGTAGAAGGAGTTCAGGGAAGACGGGGCTTTTAGTATAAAAAACATCATTTTTCGACCCCCATTTGACCCCCTGGGGCAAAATCAAAATTCCGAAACCTTACTGCACATCTACATGACACCACCAACCATCTCCCAAAAGATGATTAGGCTGCTGAGTAAAATGTAGAAGGAGTCAGGGAAGACGGGGCTTTTAGCATAAAAAACATCATTTTTCGACCCCCATTTGACCCCCCGGGGCAAAATCAAAATTCCGAAACCTTACTGCACATCTACATGACACCACCAACCATCTCCCAAAAGATGATTAGGCTGCTGAGTAAAATGTAGAAGGAGTTCAGGGAAGATGGGGCTTTTAGCATAAAAAACATCATTTTTCGACCCCCATTTGACCCCCTGGGGCAAAATCAAAATTCCGAAACCTTTCTGCACATCTACATGACACCACCAACCATCTCCCAAAAGATGATTAGGCTGCTGAGTAAAATGTAGAAGGAGTTCAGGAAAGACGGGGCTTTTAGCATAAAAAACATCATTTTTCGACCCCCATTTGACCCCCCGGGGCAAAATCAAAATTCCGAAACCTTACTGCACATCTACATGACACCACCAACCATCTCCCAAAAGATGATTAGGCTGCTGAGTAAAATGTAGGAGTTCAGGGAAGACGGGGCTTTTAGCATAAAAACGTCATTTTTCGACCCCCATTTGACCCCCCGGGGCAAAATCAAAATTCCGAAACCTTTCTGCACATCTACATGACACCACCAACCATCTCCCAAAAGATGATTAGGCTGCTGAGTAAAATGTAGATGGAGTTCAGGGAAAACGGGGCTTTTAGCATAAAAAAACGTCATTTTTCGACCCCCATTTGACCCCCCGGGGCAAAATCAAAATTCCGAAACCTTACTGCACATCTACATGACACCACCAACCATCTCCCAAAAGATGATTAGGCTGCTGAGTAAAATGTAGGAGTTCAGGGAAGACGGGGCTTTTAGCATAAAAAAACGTCATTTTTCGACCCCCATTTGACCCCCCGGGGCAAAATCAAAATTCCGAAACCTTACTGCACATCTACATGACACCACCAACCATCTCCCAAAAGATGATTAAGCGACTGTGTAAAATGTAGGAGGAGTTCAGGGAAGAAAAGTGTGACAGACGGACGGACGGACATGAGTAACAACAATATACCCGAACTTTCTTTAGAAAGTGTGGGTATAATAATATATTATTATAAAAGGAGTTTGAATTCAGAGATGAAATAGAGTAATATTTTTATTGACTCTTTCAGGTGGTGCAAATGTTGAACTCTCTTTATACCAAGTTTGATTCCATCATCAAGAACTACGATGTATATAAAGTGGAAACGATCGGCGACGCGTATATGGTAGTGAGCGGGCTTCCCATCAGGAATGGCGACACACATGCGGGCGAAATCGCATCAATGTCGTTAGATCTTCTCCGTGCCATAAAAACTTTCCGAATTACATTCCTTCCAAACGAAACTTTAAAGTTGAGAATTGGAATGCACTCAGGTAATTGAAATAAAATTCTGTAACTTTTTAAGCCATTCTTTGGTTCAGCTTTAGATATGTTGCATTATGCCATTTTGACCCCAGAATTAGTGCGAGACATATGTAAAAAAAATTACTCTTGATGTGGCCGTTTAGTAACTGTTAGAATATGCGCTTTCCCTTTACCTTTTACTATGCATTAAGTTTGAGATATTATGACAGGGCCTTGTGTAGCGGGAGTGGTTGGCCTCACGATGCCAAGATATACATTGTTTGGCGATACTGTCAACACAGCATCTAGGATGGAATCTAATGGAGAACGTAAGTCTTCAGTTTGAATTTAAGGCTTCATTCTGAAGTTAGTCAATGATAAATCACAATTTTTTTTCTCTATACAGCCCTTAAAATCCACTGCAGTGAATCCTGCAAAACTTTCCTAGATAAATTAGGCGGGTATACTTTGGAACCACGTGGTTTGGTTGAAATGAAGGTATGTTTAACTGTCAAACAAAGAATGAATTATCAATATTGAATTGCAAGAAATGATTGAATACAAAGAAAAAGTAACATTATTTTCTAGGGAAAAGGGCAGATGTTCACTTACTGGTTAGTCGGCGAAGATGTTCACATAAGACGACAGAGATTGCAGAGATGTAGTCAGACTTTGAAAATGAACACAACTTGGGCTAGGGCTACCCGGCAGGCCTATCTACAGTTCTGTAAATCTGAGAACAATGGTGACAAAACAGGGGATAGCCAACCACTTGTGGACCTTTTCAGAGAAAGCGAAAGCCACTCCAATCACGACGAGTCCCCTAAAACCAACCACCATGACAACTTCAGCTCACCGAAAGAAATCCGATCATTCTCTTCAAAACTACGATACATTCCAAATGGAATTATTTCTGAGGACAAACGTTTTAGTGATATCAAGTTGACAGGTTCAGGACAAGATATTGTTGAGCGGACAGCGTTGATTTCCAATCACGATTTATATGATAGCGATCCCGAGGTCCAGGAGAGGACCAGGCATCTGTCAGTCGGGAACAGAACGTATGTTAGTCTGGTAGTGGGTGCTCCGGAAAGACCGAAAAGTGCCAGGAATAATAACAGGGAAATGTATGATGTGAACAATGAGAATTCCCCGGAGTACCAGAATCTAATATCTGACTCGGCGGTTTGATAATGGTACTAGAAATTCTTATGACGTTGTGAAGCACTTCATCAAAATACGCAACGCTGGAGAAAGAAAAATAATGACTTTGAAGAATTTGTAGGAGTAATTATTTGGAAGCATTTAGCAACGAAAATATTATTTTTACGTGATGGTTGATTGAGGATAAATGATTCAGGAAAAAACAACTCATTAGTCTTTTGTATATGTAGTATAATTTAACTTAAAAATAAAACCTTTCCCATGGTTTACAACAATAATATATAGCATTTAGAGTTTATCGCAAAAAGTGTGTCGAAGGATCAAAGCATGTTGTGATATTTTCATTCCGTCATTCCAAAATTTTCAAGACATGTTGCCATATCAGCACCTTTCCATAGGCCAATTTGTATGTGTATATTTAAGAGAGGGAGAAAGAGGGAGAGAAAGGCATGTCTTTAAATTATTTGCACTGTATGTTTGAAAGCATAAAATACATTTTCTCAAAATGCATACCATATTTTGTTACTTTAAATGATATAATCTTTGTTGAAATAATAAAAAAAAAATTGGTTTTTCTTGTTGATTAGTTAATGCTTTTTTGTAAATTTATTATTCCACATATGATAACCAATTATTTAAAAAATGCTTTTCATTCAAATATTTTACAGTGTGGTTAATGGTCGACACAATAAACCATATAAATATGCCTTTAAGTATCCAAAGTATAGCCACTAATCTTTTAAAAAACAAACGAATGGTCTAATATTTTTAATCATTGTAGAATTTTGAAGGCACTATTAGTATAAATATATTCTTCCAAAGGCATTAACAAAAGCTGGTTATTGTCTAATTCTATCACTTCGAAGTTTATATTGAAGTGTTATGGCAGGGCATGTGTTACTGTGAAATTGTAAAATATGATTTGAATTTCATAATAATCTCTTGATGAAAATATGCAAAAACTCTTTCTTTATCAACATATGAAATAAAATAAGTCATTTGATACAAATATTTTTAAATAAAAAACTTCTTCTTTTCACCAAAGGCTGTTAACTTTGCAAAAATGTTATCAAATTGAAATGTAAAAATTCCAAACCTCCTTAACAGTTCGTCATTTAAGAAATAAAAATCTAACATTCCAATTTTTTTCCTTCAAAGCAAGACTAATTTGTCCCACTAAATATGTGATTTACAGTCCCCTTATAAACGATATATTTGATGTGCGACAGTAAATTTGTAAATCCGCAGTGTGGGTAAATAGACTAAATACTGTACGTGTACATATTTTGCGTTTTCGAAATTTAGCACACTCACGGGATATTGAGTTGGTGTATTCATGAATTAGCGTTTCACGCACGTACTCACTGTATATACATGTAGTATGTAAATTAAAGCGTATCAATGACCATGCCAAAGGCGCTAAAATAGGAAGCCCATTCACGTGGTCACGTGATCAAATCCTGCGAAGTAGGTTTGACCCCGTACGAACTACGTTCATTTCCCAGTGAACTTTTTAACATTGTTGTTTACGCAAATAATTACATATGAAACGAATAAATTTATTACACGAACAGGCCTCTGTATTGCTATGTTGTGAAGCGCAATGACCTAGGATTTGTTTGGTCTTGAAAGTTCGCCTCGCTCTAACATTTGAATGTTTACATTGACAATCAGCAGTCCAGACCAGGAAGTCTCTGTTTATAATGAAAGAACAAGGATCGCTGATGAGAATAATCTTACCATCTCATGACTCCTTAAATTATTATATTTGAAGTCAAAAGCGGTGGTACATGTATCGCCTGTTTTACTTTACATAACTCCAAAGGAATTTCGGGTTAAAAAGGTAAGTGCGTTTACTAGTATTCAAAACATTATTTCACATCGAAAGAAGATCTAGGCCTATTGTACATCTGTTGATTAAAAAATATCCTTGCGTTTCAATCATTTTATCTATTTCATCGCTAATATCTTAAAAGTATCCCGAAACCAGTTGCCCCGTGACAAAAAGATGTGGCAAAATATCTCGCCATTTGATTCAGTCGCGCTATGACCTCTGACCACCAAATAAGTTCATACAGTATTGAACATATTTTCTCTTCAATAGATTTATCTAGAAAAATATTTGCAAATGCAAATGTAACGGTATATACGTAGAATATGCCTCTTTTCTTTAACCTCCGACAAGGAACTCTGCGTAAAAAAACGTCATGATTAAACTTTATAATGGTAAAAATGATAAGACAAATTATACAATTTCAAGTTCCTTCACCCTTGTTTATGAGTGAATGTCAGGCATCTCCTGAAGGCTTTCATATCAAGAACAGCAAAACAACGGAGCAGTTACATGTATTTATACTGTTTATCTTGAAGCAAATTTATTACAAAGGAAATTTGATATGTTAAGAAAAAAGAATATGTGTACAAAAATGTAAGCCACAAGAATAGAAATATCAAATTTATTACTACAATAAAAAAAGTGATAAAAATATTAACATATTAAGTAAGTAAATGATCATTGTGCATATTTAAATGCGTACATATTTTTATGAAAAAAATTATTTTTAAGAAATGCAAAGAAGATACTATGAATATTATAATTATAACGATAATAGCACGATAAATTATAGTGAGTCACTACATGATGAATAAGTCATTTGGTTTCGCACAAGTAGCAGTAGTACTGGTAGTATATGAAAATAAAGGAAACATCAGTTCAGAGAAAGTCCGTGCTGTAAATAAACATTGAACAATGAAACAAGAGGCCCATGGGCCACATCGCTCACCTGAGCACAGTGGCTAGGAAAAAGCAGAATTGGTTTATACTTGAAAAGCTTAAATCCAAAAGCAGTCCCAAGACCAATCATGGCTTTGCTATTCTTGAGAAGAAGATTTTTAAAGAATTTTTCTATGTATTTCTATGTAAAACTTTGGTCGGCCATTTTGGCCCCGCCCTACCCCTGGGGGTCATGATTTGAACAAACTTCAATCTACACTACCTGAGGATGCTTCCATATAAATATGATCAATTATGTCTTTGCTATTCTTGAGGAGGAGATTTTTAAAGAATTTTCCTATACATTTCTATGTAAAACTTTGGTCGGCCATTTTGGCCCCGACCTATCCCTGGGGGGCCATAATTTGAACAAACTTGAATCTACACTACCTGAGGATGCTTCCATATAAATATGATCAATTATGGCTTTACTATTCTTGAGAAGAAGATTTTTAAAGAATGTTCCTATATATTTCTATGTAAAACTTTGGTCGGCCATTTTGGCCCCGCCCTACCCCTGGGGGTCATGATTTGAACAAACTTGAATCTACACTACCTGAGGATGTTTCCTCATAAGTATCATCTTTCCTGGCACAGTGGTTCTTGAGAAGAAGATTTTTAAAACATGCCACCAAATTGTCATTAATTCTCAATTATCTCCCCTTGAATGAGAGCGTGGCCCTTCATTTGAACAAACTTGAATCCCCTTCACCTAAGGATACTTTGTGGCAAGTTTGGTTGAAATAGTTCTTGAGAAGAAGATGAAAATGTGAAAAGTTTACAACAACGACAACGTCAACGCCGACAACAACGACAACGACGACAACGACAGACAACGGACAAATTGTGATCAGAAAAGCTCACTTGAGCCTTTGGCTCAGGTGAGCTAAAAAGTTAAGACTCATATAGGGACTGAGGGGGACAATCTAGACAAAACAAATGTGGAGCACAAAGATAACTTTCGATCCTTTTACAAATCGTGTACAGTTTTAAAGGAAAATTGAATGTTATTCACTTAGATTATCCTCCGGGCGAAAATTTCCAAGTTAATACATGTAGTACTTGTGATTGAAAATCCAAATAACATTCTTATTGAACGTAATAACCAATGTGTCGAATATTATGCTGAAATTATACACTGCCCAAATCTCCTCCCGCGCCTTTATATCTGTTTAAGATAAATGCAAGTCATATTTTTTCTGATGTTCTCCTAAAAAAAGAAATTCTTTTTTATGCTGCCTGTTTCCAAAGTTATCTGAAATTGAGTCTAGCATGTTGAACCAAAGTACAAACTATTAATCGCCTTGGTAAGTGGCATTTTTCATGTACTGTTGTCTTTGTGTCTGAAGATCTGATATATTTTCAGCACTTTGAGGATTTCCCACTATGTTTGGACTCGCACAGTATCCGGAATCTTTCGAGTCTGTCCCAAGAGAAGTCAAAATCTTGGATCGAGGTATGGGTCATCTTCTGATATGAATATGTAAAGAAATCTCAATTTATTGATATCAAACAAATATTAATGCAATAAGATTTTTCCGATCGCTTAAAAGAAATAACGGTATAAGAACAAGAAGAAGAAAGTTTAAAAAAAAGCTTTAAAATTCTATGTTTATGTACATGTACTATTATGCATGTTTTGATGCGTTTAAGTATAGTTCTCCAATTTTCCACCAGTAAAACGTTTTTGATTCCCTACCTCTGAATTTTAAAGACCTTACCTGAAGATTTTCCGCAATCACGACGGGCTTTACATAATATTCTGCTAACTATTACCAATGCTAACACAGCTAACCCAAAGAGGACACCAAAAACCACTGGCAAAATGGAATTATCTTCGCTGAAAGAAAATTATACATATCTTAAATGTCAAAGTATGGAATAAATATTTTACATTAGAAAGGATGCGTAAATGAGCTTGTAATACAATGATAAACACTCTTTTTTCCATCATGATAACATAATGTCGATTTGAAGTTGATTTAGGATACCTCTTTGAAGAAGGACTGAAAGATTGGTTGTTGATTTGTCTCATGCATTTTGGACACTCTGAGGGATTCGGGCACTTTGATGGCAACGTCCTGAATGGATCTTTTATTATCCTTTCATATACTGAATATCCATCCTCATCTAAGGTATATCAGCCTATCTAATTTAGTAGAATGAAAAGGGGTAAAGATAAACAAGAGGCCCATGGGCCACATTGCTCACCTGAGAAGCTTTGACCATTCTGTTCTTTACCAGATTTCCCCCTTGTTATACATAATGCATCCCCACCCTACCCCACTGATCATAATTTAGACATTTTGAAATCTACACTACCCCATGATCCTTCCATGGGCACATATGTTTCAGCTTTTTTGGCCCAGTGGTTCCTGAGAAGAAGATTTTCAAAGATTTTTCCTATATATTTCTATGTAAAACTTTGATTCCCCTATAATGGCTCCGCCCTTCCCCCGGGGGTCATGATTCCTACAATTTAGAATTTACACTACCCCAGAATGCTTCCACATAAGCTTCACTTTTTTCTGGCCCAGTGGTTCTTGAGAAGAAGATTTTCAAAGATTTTTCCTATATATTTCTATGTAAAACTTTGATACCCCATTGTGGCCCCGCCCTTCCCCCGGGGGTCATGATTTGAACAATTTAGACTCTACACTACACCAGGATGCTTCCACATAAGTTTCAGCTTTTCTGGCCTAGTGGTTCTTGAGAAGAAGATTTTCAAAGAGAGATCCTATATATTTCTATGTAAAACTTGGATTCCCCATTGTGGCCCCGCCCTTCTCCCGGGGGTCA